CGACTCCTCCTGTGCTGGTTCCTTACGCTGTGACCTATTCACTTCAATATTTTTAGCAGAGTCCTTTACTTGGAAGGCACTCACTGCTGGAGAGCCAGGTCTGCCCCTTGGTCTTCTCTGATCATCTTCAAGATGAAGGCATTTGGAAGTGGGCGAGTGTTCTTTAGGAACCATTACTGTTCCCTGGTCTTTGACCATGCTGCTATTCCTTGTTTCACCTTCTGAGACGTTTCCTTCTGCTTGTAGTGAACTTATTTGACTGTCATCTGTTAAGGTGGAAGACAACTGATGGGAAGAAGAAAGCTCTATATTCTCTTCCAAACCCTGGAGTGTGCTTATGCCTCCCTGAGCATCTTCAGAAGCATTAGGTTTAGCCATGTCCTCTACTGCTCCCTCTGAGGTAGGCTGCTTACCAGTTGCTGGTGCCACTTTTTTGCCACTTTGCTTCTGCTCTGCACCAGCATCAACCTCCTGCAAAGAATCCATGGAGATCTTATCCAGGAAGGGTTCAGCCTTATAATGTCCCTCTGAAACAGTTTTACAGACCAAGAAGCACTTTGGTGTGTCTCTCTGAGAGGAAATGGCATCAGCCAAAAGAGATTTTGGATGCTGGTCCTGAGGGTCTGAGGCATGGAAAGCCAGTTCTGAGTCCACAGCCTGCTGGGTGGTGTTGCTAGGGGCTGGCCTATCCTGGACCATGCTGAGAGAGGAAAAGTCCTGGCTGCTTTCCAGGTCAATCAGCTCTACTTGCTTAAGTTTCAGAGAAGACAGTCCACCCACTTCTAAAAGCATTTCTCCGTCCAATTCTGAGAGTCCTTTTTGAGGCTCTGTATCACCTTGCCCTGGTTCCAGTCCCACTGGCACGTTCTGCAGGGGGTTAGAGGGTCTGCCCAGCATCTCTGCTGCTGCCCCTGGAGCAGAGAGGCAGTCCTGGGGAACGCTGAGCTCTGCTGCCCCCTCTGCAGAGCCGGGCAGGCTGGTGCTCATTGCTGCTGAGGCATGAGGGGCATGACACTCTCTTCTGACTGCTGTAGAATCCCAGGCTTCCCCAGTGGCACTGCTGGCTTCTGGAGGAGCAGCACCTCCCTCACTGGTTTCTTCAGCCTCCATCACTGGCACATCCTACTAAAGAAAAAGGCATTTTTCTGTTACTACTAGAGAATGAGCCAGTGGATCTAATTGGCTTAAGAGACTTTTAAAAACAGTCTAAGAAAACCCACAAAAATACGTAATTAGTGGGTGGTAAGAGTTAGAAAACATACCAAGACTGAAAGTAGGCAAACACCAGATGCAATCAGTATGAGAGTAACTCCAAAATAAAACTGCTAGTGTCTTTTTAGCTTTACATCCAAATCCAGAAAGTGACTGTGGCCAAAGAGCAGAGATGCTGATCTCTCTGTAAGGGCTGCAGGGCAGCTTAGGAGAAGCGTTGGCCATGGCCAGCTGTCTCAAACCCAAAAGAGGATACCAGAAGGCATTCAGAGAACAAGAGAATCATCAAAATCTCCATTATTTTTTGTGGGTCATGGTGGACAAATACTCATGACCTTTTCTAGCTGAGGTCAGAAGAAAAAAGAAGCTTAAGGTCTCTTTTGACTTCAACAGAGACAGACCTGTCCCTTCAGAGCTCTTTACAGGTCTCTGTGTATGTATGTGCCACACAGAGCCTTAATGAAGCTGATCACAGGGACTGATTAATGAGACATGGGAACAAAAATTTCATTAGCAGATAACTAGGACATGACACAAGACACAAGACATTTTAAGGATGTAAACCACGTTTGAGAGGAGCACCTCTGGTGTTTCTGGACATGTCCACAGGCTAGAAAGAGAAACTATATCATATTTTAGTCTGCTCTTTTAGGGAGCAGGGAGAGGAAGTGATCTCAGGATTGCTGGATGGTTTCCCAAAGGATATAGTGGAATTTCCCATCCATTATTGCATCTGAAATTCAGACGTGACCAAGCACTAGGGAATGTACATTTGGGATGTGTCTGAAAAGGACAGTAGAATTTGATTCACTGCTTTTGCCTTTCTGGCTTCTACCTATCCCCTGACTCACAATCCCTACCTTAAACGACACAAGAAAGAAACAAACCTCAGTGACTTCCCTCCCTTTTCTTCTGCCTTTGGGACACTTTAGTGTTCCAGCCTGTCTATTTCCTACCCTTGCTTATCAGAAATGGCTTATAAATTGCTGCTTCAGGCTTCTTCACACACTAGATGCCCCTGCAATCATACCAGAACTTCTAATGTAGCCCTGAAGGGTCTGCTGCCACGTGGAGCCACAGCCAGATTTCCCCTTGAATAAAGCTTCAGCATTCCTCCTCCTTCATCCCATCTTACAGATGTTGAGGTTTTCAGACATGAATGAAGTCCTGCATCTTTTGGTCAGAGAAACTATTCCACTTTTCTTCTAGCTGTTTAGTGGTCAAAAAAAAAAAAAAAACACACCAAAAAAAGTGACCCATGGCCTGGTTCTAGACTTTACAAAGCTTGTGCAAAAAAGACCCTCCTTTTCTTGCTCAAACCAGATAAATCTGTATGTTTTCTTCTTTCTCAGGCATTCTTAATTTCCCTGCACTTTTAAGAATAGCATTTTTACAGTTTCACCTGCATGGAGGGGGAAGGTAGAGTGGAGGAGTGTGACAATTTCAACTTGGGAGATACACAGAGAAAGTCTCTACATGGAAAGAGAAATCTTTGAGATCAGTGGTGACTTCCTTGTGCTGGAACAGCTCTACAGTCACAAGGAATTTTTTCTGATCCCACATAGAAAGTAAAAGCAGCACAGGCATGATTACATCTGGTCTAATGGTCCTAGTTATCTTCATGGCCACACATGCCTGACCTGAAAGCTGGTTTAGCTTATCTTTTCCTTTACGTCAAGTGAAACAGAACACCTGCCCTGAAAGCAATGAGCACAGGCTCTGGAGCTGGAACTGAAGCATTCTACACACTTTAATCATGGGCCTTGTCATCATCTTACAACTTTTTTTTAAAAAAAAATGGAGGGGAAAAAAATGAATTGACTAATTCAGTTAACTCGGTTAACTTAGTTCTTCTGTATTTTTCTCCTCACATAATCCTGAATTCTTGTTTATACTAAAAAAAATTATAATCTTTCTTACAAAGCCAAACCAAAACTGTGATTATTCAGCAGTTTGGATTTCTTCCCTGTCCCAAGTCATGAGTAGTTGTAAATAGTTATAATTTCACCAAACAGTATGGTCCAAAAAGACATGTCCACTCAGAAAGTTCCCATGGGGCTTCTGCCACATCTTACTGTTGTCAGCTAATAGGAAACTGCTTTGGTGCT